GTAATTATTCGTATGTATGGGAATGATTATGTATTAGGAATGGTATCTTTTGTGCCAGCCTGGGACGATCGACATGAAGCGATAACACCGTAGATCTAATGACGTTACCATGAGAAAAATGTCACCGTCTGGGAGAGAGACACGTATTTATAGGCGGAACATTGATAAACAATGTTGTCTACGTTATATAGAAAATTTCCAGCCCGCAGATATCTTTGCAATAAGTCAATGGATACTCCAATCGCGGCCGGTCTTTTTTCGCGCACTGTGACAATTGTCCCCATTTAACAACTATATGTTTCGCTTCCGATTTTCCCAGGTCAAATGTGACATTTCATATGTAAACCCATATTTCAATGTCGCTTTGGCTCCTCAACAAAGTACCGACTCGTTCCAAAAGTTAACGGGCATATTTATTTATGTATTTTCCAGTGAATGTCCTGTATAGATAAGAGCTTAAATCAAAACTGCCGAAAAAGTGGCAAGAAATGGTAAATAGTTCCGGGCACATTATTAATCAATACATGGTTCGTTTCATTGCAAAGAGAAATACGTCCTTGAATTTTCCCGATTTTTGTTTTTTCTCGAACTCAACGCAATAATGGCGTCTCAATGGGAGATGTAATAAAGGGCAGTTTATCGCTCTCCTGCGAAGATATATTCCCAATTTTGGTAACTCGGCGCGGCAACATCGAGATCGATTTCGAGGTAATCGCGCGGGATGCCTCGATCGATCTCTCGAGACGCAAACGGGGCGGGCATCCCCGGTGGACATTCTCGGCATACTTTCGCCTCCTCCGAGAACAATTTGTACGTTTCAGTACATTCCGGTACGGGGATGGCATACGCGAATAATCGCGACAGCAAACCATTAATCCTGGGTCGATTTTCGCGGAGCGATAACGCGTAAAGATAACGACGTCACCGTGCACAACTAGGAATCGTCGCGCGTCCGCGCCAAGATGGCGGCGTGGCCATCTTTTCTTTTCCCGCGTTCCTCGATCGCGATTCGCCAGGCTCGAGAGCCGACTTCCGGTCGGTGTCGAAAACGCTCCTAAACGCGACATACCCGAGACTCGATTTACTCGCGCTTGATCGGTCAGACATTGACATTCCGTCGGATCGACATACCTACGAGCGTAAAATGTGCCCATAATTATGAAAGTGGTCTAAGTCATATATTTTTTCTTTCGAAATTACATTGAATTAATTTCGTTTAAAATAACGTGGCGTGAAATAACTGATAAACTCATTTTTTTTTTTTGAATTTTGACCTAGACCACTTTCATAATTACGGGCACAAATTAAATACGGATATATACTTTTAGCCGCGGTTATCGACGGTACGTCGAGATGGTCCAATGCCATCCAGGTTCACCGATGGTGCGCGCGGATAATCCCGGACGCGTTTCCGCGTCGCGAGACGATCGTCGCGGGGCGATAACGCGAGATAAATAACCGGACAGTGGGCCCAAGAAAGACGGTCACGGTCCGAGTGTCGTTCTCTATTCTAAATTCGGCGCTTTTCCCCCGACTTTTTCCCTCGATCTTAACTCGACCAAGCCCGGAGGGCATTCCCCGTCTCGACTCGATGATCGATCTCTCCCCGAGAGCCCGGCGAGAGCGTTCGTTTTCGACGGGCATTCTCGAAGCACTTTCGCCTTTCCCTCCGAACGGTCTTTCGCACGTTTCAATGTCGCTCGATGGCGTACGCGGATAATCGCGGTAGCCGCGATTGTCGCGGCCCGATAACGCGGGGATAATGACGACATTACCGCCGAAGAGAAATGGCCACCTTGCCTCTCGGGCGGGTCCTGTTTCGCGGTCTCGCGCCTCGTTTCTGCGTCTTCCCTCCTCCTCCTCCCCCCCCACCCTCCCCTCCGCGCCGTCCGCAGCGCTCCGACTGAAGCGCGCGCCGCGCGCCGACTGATGCACGCTCGCGCGCGGGGTTAACTGCGCGTGCGCGCGGGCAGGTGCGCGCGCACGTACCGCGCCGACCGAGCGTCGATTTTACGGAGGTACTCCGGATTTTCTTCCCGCCGAGGCGCGGCGAGCACATGCGAGAGGACAAAAACGGGACGAGAGCCGGCCATCGACAGGGCGCTCCTGCCGCGCCCGGAGTCAGGGAACGGGGATAGGAAATATCCCACGCGGAGATAATAGGAGTTATCCGCGGGAAATGGCTTCCACGAAACTCGGGGTTCTCACGTTGTGACCGGGCCCCTCGTCTTTTCCGGGCGAGACGGGCCCTCGGGGATTTTTATTTCTTTTTTTTCCTCGGGGGTTTCGCGCCGGTGACCTTTTTCTTTTTTTTTTTTGTTTGTTGCCCCGCGAGTACGCCGACGTATCGGCTTCCAACTGGTCTTCGTGGTCGAGGCGAGGGACTGCCCGGAACTTTGACAAGAGATACCCCTGCACCTGCGGGGATTGTTTTTGGGATATGAGAAGAATCCGCTCTACGTGTCTCTGGTGCAACCGGAATCTATACTTGTCCATTTTGACGAATGATTCGGTACGTTCGGACGGGCGTAAGATGTTAAAGGTAGTCACGAGATTCCTGCATTTTTCGGATATGACGTTGCAGTGGAGTTGTCAATTCGATTCCTTCAAAGTGAATCGACATACGTTTAATATGAATTTCCGAATGAATGTACAATTTTATGTCACGATTCCGCGTAGGTAAATTAATGGAGTTCTGCGGTACATTTGTACAGTGTTGTAAATCCGGTTTACGAATACGTTATGAAATAAGTGTACCACTTTCAATGACGCGTCCGACGAGAAGAATTTTATGGATTTAGATTCATTCAGCGGGGTACTTCAAACGAGAGAATTTCGAAATTCCCGCCTTTTCTTCTTAGAAGTACTCTTCGTAACCCTTATTTTCTTTACCTCTGGACTCTTGGGATACACGTAATCCTATTACCATAACGTTCTGTGACTTATATACCATTTTCCGTTGCAGGGTACCATGTGCTTGACGAAACGCATCGACGAGGTCCGTCTGCTGGAGTCCCGCAAAAGCGCTCGTCTAGCCGATCAAGACACGGATTTCGCCAGGCTCGCCGACATGGCCGGCGACAGGAAACGAGCGTCCTCCCATTCCATCGATGTACCCCACGTCATCGGGTAAATAGATATCTTAAATATATCCCCATTTCCCCGGAAGCAACCGACTCGCGTTGGATGTCGACGCGCGATCGAGCAAAACCCGCGCGGAAAGAATCGGAACCAGGCCACAGTTTCCCGAGTCGAAAAACAAGACGACAGAGTGATGTCTCGACGCCATTTTGGTTCTGGTCTGGGCTGAGTTAAAAAATTAAAAAAAAAAAATCCAGATTTTGAATGTGTCAGGACAATTCTTAGATGATCAGGAGTGATGTGTCAAAGTTTCGGACAGTGTAATACCCTTAAAAAAAGGACTGATTTGAAGGGGGTTTCACTTCACCTTAAGGGTGCCTTTGAGCGCTCCCCGGAGCGTGCCAAAAGGCGGCTCTCCGCGAAAACGAGGAGGAAGGTCGATCGGCGCCCGCGGAGGATTTTTCGAGGTCCTCGGCACGATCGGGTCGTTATTAATGCCGCGACCTCGCGGCCCGCGTTCGTTAACGACCAAGGACTCTTTTTCACGCTCCAATCGCGGGTCGGACCGGCGGAAAAAGAGCGGCACCTCGCTTCCTTACCGCGGTATCGGGCCTCGCTCCTTCGCGGGCGGATCGCGCCAATTGGACGGCACTAAAGGAGACCTTAATAATGATTAACGTCGACCTCGTGGGAGGGCCGGCCACCTACCGACGACCATCAAGCTGCCCGTCGCGGTGGCTAATTGTGGATACGATTCGGGGCGCGCTGATTGCTCGACGCCCTGGCGGCCCTCCGTACGTGTACTCTTCTCGTGTACTCGCCCTCCACGTGCATACAGGCGCCGGTCGTCGCGTGCTGCTCGACGTTGAACCCTGAAAGTAATACCTGGGTGCCGCGCCTCGGAAACAAGAGCAAAAGACTCCTAACTAGTGGACACTAAAGTGCAAGGGTTCTATCGATCGCCCCCCGCCAAACGAGGAGCCGGCTTTACGTCCTCCTCGTCCAGGCCAGGCTTCGTCCTGACGAGACTCCTTACGAGGTCGTTCGCGCCTTCGACGACGGAATGCCCGTCTGCCCGCGTATTTACGTCCTCCTTCTATTCCTGGAGACGCGACTTGACGTTGGATCCTGAAACTCCTGGTCGAGAGCCTTCGACGTCGAGGGATTTCCCGCTCACTGGGGAAACTTGTCGCGTCCTTTGTCCTGGAAATTAGGGCTGATCTTTCCGCGGAGTTCGGATGTCTCCTTTGTTCGACGGCGAAACCCCCACCGAGGGGAGCTCGCGGAGGTTGGAGATGAAAAATAGATTATTTGGGGTCTTAGTCTCGGGCGATGCCTGTGAGAGTATTTATAACTCCGGGATTCGGAGGAGTCGGCGGGGGAACGTTTGTATCGAGATCTGGGCTTTTTTAGGGGAAATTTGAGAGTTTCGTAACTAGGGCACGAAAAGGGCATGTTTCTGGGGGGTTATTATTTTCTTCGCTCAATTCGTCATGTTTAGGCGGAGGGAAAAATGGACACGGAGCGTCTATTTTCGGTGGCAGGACGATTTTTCGCTATCGACGCGGTGAATGGTAGGCTGGCTCGCTTCTCGCCGGTCTTAAAATACCGCATTCTCGACGGGAATATAAGATAAGATCTGTAAATAAGAATACATGAATGAGCAACTACTGGACCGCGGTATTTGTTTACGTTTGCCAGGTCCTGCGTTCTGTTTATGCTCGCGGAGAAGTATTTAGGTCTGACGGCGTCACCTGTGACCATCGAGCAAACAGCTAAATCATTACCCCTCTACCGTATCGAATACCCTGGTATCGTAATTAGGTACCACGTACACCCTCTACCATTGCTCCTGTCCTCCTACCGCTGCTCTTTGGGAACGGTTTCTTCTTCACCTTCCTTCTCTTCACGCCGATCTCCCGCCCCGTTCGAAACGACGTAACCCATTAGGCTTTGATCTTACCATATTCCATCGTATGACTTAAATATCTACAGCATTTCTAGGATCCATCCACGACACTTAAATCCCAAATCCGGTAACCGTGACACCTGAAAACATCATATTTTTACCGTTGACCCAAAGCAACCCTAGTATCACCCAATACTTGTCTTATGCTTTCTATACATTTAACGAATATCGTACATTTTGTTAATATTTACCAGACATCTGAAAGATTTGCAAAGCATTTACTTTGGAATATTATTTATATATTTTTATATTAGCTCCACGTGTTTCCGTGATATTTTTCTTATAGACATACGAATCATTGCGTTTCGTTTTAATATAAGTATTTTTTCAATACCATCTGCGGAATACATTGCTAACGTTTTAAAAATATTAAAAGTGAAAATCACGCGTCTTGCTCCCATATAATGAAATAGCGGAACGAAAATATTGCATAAATTCGCCGTGCTCTTTGACAACAAACGAAGGGTCCGATATTAATCGTAAAGTAAAAAATGTATTTTTATAACATGTTTATAAAATTAAAATAATAATTTGGATACATGTTGAGAAATTATTAAAACTAAATATACCATTGAGATTTTCAACAAATATTCGGTACTACTAGGGAACGTTCCAGAACATGTCCTTCCGAACTTTTCCTTCGACTAATCGCCTCAGGTTCCCTGTGCGTAAACCTAACCTGCGTAGGTTGCGCAGGTGTCGGAAAAGAAAGAGGCACCTCTCGTCACCCTTGAGTCGCAACAACCTGCCGCATAATCCTGGGACGGAATGGGGATCCGAGGGGAAGGCAAAATCCCGGGATTCCACGCTGTCGGGCGCGATCCCGGGACGTGGCGAGATCAAAAGCTTTTCTGGTGCTTTTGCACTTCCTCCGGCAGATGTCGCACCCCTACTGCTCTCGTTCGGAGGTCGCGGAAGGTTCAGGTCGGAGGAAGCCGGCCTCCGCGGTGGGAAAGTGACTCGACGGCGTTGACGTTCGTTAAGGTGATACAAAAGAGTCATTATATATATATAATGTCCAAATATTTATAAAACTTTTCTCCAAACTGGGTGCACCGAATAATTTGAAACCTTAACACGTGATTATGAAAGCCCTAAGGAAGAACGCGATACACATGAAATGTTATTTTTCAAACAATTTTTTTTATTTAACCAAAACTAGGATCAGAATCGCATTTTTTTAAGTGAAAAATGAAATTTCACGAGCATCGTATTCTTCTTTAGGGCCACCGTAATCACGTGTTAAGGTTTGAAATTATTCGGTGCACCCAGTTTGGAGAAGATTCATAAATATTTGGACGTTTTATATAGGTATATATGTATAGAATGACCGTTTCGTATCACCTTAAGCGGGCGTCAGCGTCCTCCGACGGTTGAATACAAAATGGCGGCCGCGGCCCTACTCGGTAGACCGTGAGCGCACCCTCGCTGCGCATCTGTGCGCGCACCTCCCCACGAAATTCGGCCGAGTTTCGGCTCCGTCGAAAGCGCCGGCCGGCGTCGCGCGATAGGGAATCTTTCCAAGGGGGGAATTCGAGATTGCCGGCTGGGAGGTCGGCGCACTCGATCGAAACAACCTGTCGGGCTTTCTTAAAAGGGACTCCCACCCTTTCCGTCGGATCCGTCGGCCATTGACTCGCGGGCACTGTTGACTCGAGGAGCGAGATCTCGTCATTCCTCGAAAAGACATTTCCACGAGAATTCGAACGACGACGAATCCAATGGGGACGTGAAGCGTCGGGACGCGAGGGAAACCTTTCTCTACCTGCGCCCTTACCTGCGACCCTGACTCTCAGGTTCGGTCGTATTGGAAAATCAGTCCGAGGAGAAACCACCTTCTCGGATGCGCCCTGGAATTTGCCTCCGGACGTTCCCGGAAGAATTCTTTCGGTTTATCGATCACTCCTTCCAGTTGCGGAATAATCGACGGTGCTAATCGGGAGTCTATAGATAGTTCCACTTTCCAGCGGATATGGATCGAGCGGGTTCCCGGAGACGTCGATGACCCCTCGAGATTCTCATCGATCCCTGGACGTCTGACCGTCCCAGGGCCCAGGTGGTCGGTTCGCGTTTCGGGACCGAGGGGCGAGGGAGGGTCACCCCGGAGGACGCGCGACGGGAACCCTTTTCTACCTGGGCCTCGAAGCGCGATTCCACGCCGGCCCGGGGACCGTTTCGACAATGAACCTGGGCCGGTCCCCGAGGAGAGATCCCTATCGGGCAAGTCGGCGCCTTTTTCGTCGTTTTCCGGCTGGCCGGAACTGGCCGGGTGGAACGACCGGCTCGGCGCAGACGGTGCGGCCCTGGTAGCAACGACCTTCCCGACTTTTCCTCTCCCTCGCTCCCTCCGGGACCGGCGAAGAAGCGCGTGGGTAGGCGATCCACTGACAAAGGGCCCACCGGGCCCGTCGGGTGCCCGGCCCGGTGCACCGTCTGGATGCCGGTCTTTACCTTCGAGCCCAGGCCCGGCCCGGCCAGGTTAGTTACCTGCTTCCACCGCCAGTCCGCGCAGCTGCGCGCGGGCCCCTTGCTTGACCTGCCTCAAGAAAGGAGCGCAGAGGAACTCGGAATAAAGCGGGCCGAGAAGGCGCGCGTTCGCCGTTTCACGTTTTTTTACCCTCGGACGCCGGTCGAGGGTGACGCCGCTGGCGTCTTCCTCGGGACCTAGGATCGCACCCTCTCGGTTCTGGATATCCGATAGAATCGATCGGGAGATCCACGTGCCGAAGTCCCATCTCAGATACCTCACCCCACCTTAAGAGTAAAACCGAGCAATTAACCCCTTAACGCACAGATTTTTTGAAAAAATCAATTTTTTTTACGTAAAAAAAAAAACACTAGAAAACATTGTCTTGGCAAAAAAATCAAATTCTCGATTATATTCGAGGGTGAAAAATTATAGTAGCGTAATATACAACGCCGCTCGAATTATCCCTCGAATTTGAACAGTTTGGCCTGTTTAGCGCGCTCGAATTAACTCGAGCGCACAAGTTAAGGGGTTAAATTGCGGGCGGTAGATTTTATTTTCTACAATTTGATCGCTCATTTCTTGGGTTTAATGTTGGACTATCGGTCACAA